AACATCTAATCTTTGATAAGGGAGCAAGAAATGTAAAGTGGAGCAAGGAAAGCCTCTTTAACAAATGGTGCTGGCATAACTGGACAACCACAAGCAAAAAAAAAAATGGGTTTAGACCTCGACTTAACACCATGCACAAAATTCAGATCAAAACGGATTAAAGACCTCAACTTCAGACCAGAATCCATAAGATAAACTGAAGACAAGGTAGGCAAAACCCTCCAGGATACTGAGGCTAATGATATCTTCAAATGACATGCCACTGATCAACCAAGAGGAAACAGAGATAAACAAATGGCACTATCTTAAACTAAGAAGCTTCTGCACCTTAAAAGTTACAGTGACCAAAATACAATCTACAGAATGGGAAAGGATATTCACCCAATACCCATCGGATAAAGGGTTGATATAAAGGATATACAAAGCACTGGTTGAACTCCACAAGAAGAAAACATCCAACCCTATCAAAAAATGGGGTGATGAAGTGAACAGAAACTTTGTCAAAGAAGAAATCCAAATGGCTAAAAGGCACATGAGAAAATTCTCTACATCACTAATCATCAGGGATATGTAGATCAAAACAACAATGAGGTATCATCTCACACCACAGAGACTGGCCCACATCCAAAAGAACAAAAGCAACAGGTGTTGGCACAGATGTGGCGAAAAAGGGACTCTCCTTCACTGCTGGTGGGAATGCCAACTGGTTCGGGCCTTTTGGAAAACAGTATGGTCGATTCTCAAAATATTAGAGATTGAGCTCCCATTTGACCCAGCAATACCACTCCTGGTAATGTATCCCAGAGAGGCAAAAAGGTACAGTCGAAAAGACATCTGCACTTGTATGTTCAATGCTGCACTGTTCACAATATCCAAAATCTGGAGAAAAAAACCCTGAGTGCCCAAGAACAGATGACTGGTTAAAGAAACTTTGGTACATCTACACAATGGAATACTATGCAGCTGTTAGAAAAGATCAAGTCATGAAATTTGCATATAAGTGGTACTACATTGAAAGTATCATGCTAAGTGAAATGAGTCAGAAAGAGAGGGACAGACATAGAAAGTCTACACTCATCTGGGGAACATAAAGTAACAGAAGGGGAGATGAACACCCAGCTTGGAAGCTGGCAGTAGATGCTGGGGGGAAAGGCAGCTCAGATAAAGAAGGGAACACCAAGTAAAGGATATTTGGAGGATTCGCTCGGCATGCGAGATGATGCTGAAAGTAGACTATAGACTGAACATGATGACCACTCAATACCTCTATTGCAAACCACAACACCCTAAAGAAAAAAAGAGATCAAAAGGGAATGCCCTGCCACAGAGGTGAAGTGGGGTGGGAGGGGTGGGGTGAGGCGTGGGACGGTTACTGGGTTCATTGGTAGTGGAGAATGAGCACTGGTGAAGGGATGGGTACTCGGTCGTTGTATAACTGAAACCCAAGCACACAAGTTTGTAAGTCTACAACTGTACCTCATGGCATATCATTAATAAAAAAATTAAAAAACAAACAAACATTCTCCTCCCATTGTTCATCGATTTGCTCGAGCGGGCCCAGTAATGTCTCCATTGTGAGAATTTTGTTACTGTGTTTGGCATATCGAATACGTCACGAGGAGCTCGCCAGGCTTTGCCATGCGGGCGAGATACTCTCCGTAGCTTGCCGGGCTCTCCGAGAGGGGTGGAGGAATTGAACCCAGCTCGACCAGGCTGGCTGCGTGCAAGGCAATTGCCCTACCGCTGTGATATGTATTGGTGGTATAGTGGCTAGCAAAAAATTTAAAATAAATAAAAATAAAACTCCAAGATATAAACAGTTACAAAGTGGTCCATGATTGGGTTTCAGTCATACAATGTTCCAACAGCTGTCCCTTCACCACAGAGGCAGGATATTGTGAAAAAACTTAATGAAATAAATGCCTCACCAAGAATATTTCATCAGGCTAGAATCTCTCTCAGATTTGAATGATACACAACTTCATGGATAAACAACAGCTCAGGAACTTCATAGAATTAAAACCAACTTTGAATGAAGGACAGAAGGGGCAGTTGTAAGGCAAAGCCTTTTATCTTTAAAAGCCCAAAATCTTTATTTTATCTAAACCTTAAGACAAGTTTTTTAAGTGCAGTGTTCTGCACTTAAGAGCTAGCTTTTCAATTTTTACCTCTTTTTCCTCTTATAAAATGATAATGTCACTCACCTATTCAAAGTTCTTTTCTTTTGCTTTCAGGGTATAATCAACCCCTTTTCTTTCATTCAACTGATAATTAAATTCCACATAAAACCTGTGTGAGCTACATCAGTGGAAACAGTGAGGAGAGAAGCACAAAGGTTGGAGGGACCCAGGAACTGTGATGCTGAAAGAGTTGCCCTGGAGTGCTGTGCATGGTATGACAACTTACTTTTTTTTTTATTAGTGAGACATCATGAGGTACAGTTGTAGACTTACAAATTTTTGTGTTTGGGTTTCTATCATACAATGATCAAATACCCATCCCTCCACCAGTGCCCATTTCCCACCACCACGGATAACTTACTTTTGAAGAGGCATTAAAAAAAAACTCTGCTGAAACATATATAATGATGTAAACCAATGTTAGGGCAATCACCAACAAATTCATTAAACAATTAAGTAAAAAGCTGGTTAACGAGTGTGGATGAGTAGATGTTACTGTTTTTCTGAAGACAGGAGGGCTTATTAAACCCTCCTTATCTTATTTAGTAGATCTGAAGTGGGGCTGAGGATTGGCATATAATTGGCATATCAATCAAATTCCCAGGTGATACAGACCTGGTCCATGAAGTGCAGTTCTCAATCTTGGGTGCATGTTGAAATTCATTGGGAAGCATTTAATTTTGTTTTTACATTTCCCTCAGTCTTATTCAGATATAATTGACATAACATTGTGCAATATGTTGATTTGATATATTTATAGGTTGAAAAATGATTGCCATCATACTGTTATCTACCATCTCCATCTCATTATTACAATTATGGGCAATTATGATCCCATAATTATGATTTCTTTTGCAGTGAAAACACTTAAGATTTTAAGATTTCATAAGTATTCAAGCATATAATACAGTATTAGTTATTATCACCATGCTGTACTTTAGACCCCCAACATGCTAAGGTAGAAACTCTGAGTTATCACCTTTTTCTTGGATAATAAAAAAGGCCCTCCCGTTGATCGTCGATTTGCTCGAGCGGGCCCAGTAACGTCTCCATTGGAGACTTTGTTGTTACTGTGTCTGGCATATCGAATACTCTCGGTAGCTTGCCGGGCTCTCCGAGAGGGGTGGAGGAATCGAACTCGGGTCGGCCATGTTGGCCGCTTGTAAGGTGAACACCCTACCCGCTGTGCTATCGCTCCTTGGATAATAGTTCTAAGCATTTTAAGAAGTATCATTGGTTTGTCCTTGCTCCTCCTGCAGGGAGCTTAAGTTGAGTTACACCCATCACATGCTCCCAAGACACACCCAACTCCATCAAACACTCCTCATCCCTGTGTTTATCTTTAACCACTTCTTTGTGTTCTTCTCCCCCTATCTGTTAATCACTAATATCCCAAAATCAGACCCTGTGACTTACAAAGTTAAATTCTTCTGACTTTGTGTATGTAAGTGAAATATTGCTTTTGTTTTTCCATTATGTCCTTTGCATAGTTTTTTTTAGAGCAATGTCTCTTTTTGTATAGACATAGGAAAATAGTTAATGCTATGCTTTTATAACATGGTAATGAATTGACTCCAGATATTTACTCCTGGGCATCTGTCTGTCATATTTACTTGACTTAAGCCTCAGTTGTCCTTAGTTCCTAATACCCCCAAAAGGAGAGTTCCAGCAAGGGACTCAGATGAACCCAGGGCAAGCCGTAAGCTACCCCGGCACTTAAAGGGACAGGCTAAGTGCCATAAAAAAAAAAGTATAATAAGAGCACAGTCAGGAAGAAACTCTGTCATGACCCAAAAAGAAGTAACTGAATAAGGATCCTTCTGGGATCAGGAAGGACTCATCTGGCCTGAGGACTGAATCTGGGATCTATAATGAGATGTCCCCAGGAGGGCCACCCTTTAAGCTTAGTATATCTCTCTTTCTGTGTCCGTACAAAATAATTAGAAATATTAAGAAGTAAATTTAAATTTTAAAAAAAGCAACAACAACATGGGAATGGGGGAATGGGGGGGGGAGAAGTAAATTTAAGATGATTGTTTAAATAAATAATCACATCAATATTATCTAACAGATGATGCCCCATGCCAAAAGAAAACAAGGTCATTTACAGACTAAAGAGAGGATGTTTTTCTCCAAGCTCTTTTCTGCTTCTATATCACAGAAAAGGGTTTCCAAACATCCTGCAAGTGTACGAAAGATCTGCTATTACCAAGTCACCCAGCCATAAGTACTCTGCTGACACTGTGTTGTCATGAGACAGGCACCCTGACAGGGCAGCCTCCAGTCGCCCCCAACACTCATTTTACATGGAAGCCTGTGTAAAATGGACTGCCTGCTTTCCAGGCTTCTCCAGGTGACAGGTGTTCTCTTGCCCACCTCAGATCCTTCAGAGTTCTTGCACATTCGTTAGTTTTTGATCATTAAAATCTAAAGCATCAGTCTGTCTCAGAATGCCTCTGTGTGTGGATATGTTTTATGTACATACGTATGTGCTTCATTGGGCTGGAGCAATAGCACAGTGGGTAGGGCATTTGCCTTGCACGCAGCCAACATGGCCGACCTGAGTTCGATTCCTCTGCCCCTCTCAGAGAGCCCAGCAAGCTACTGAGAGTATCTCGCCTACACGGCAAATCCTAGCAAGCTACCCGTGATGTATTGGATATGCCAAACACAGTAACAAGTCTCACAATGTTACTGGGCCTGCTCGAGCAAATCGATGAACAATGGGAACAGTTAGTGACAGTATGTGGTTCGTTAGAGAACAAAGTACTATTCTTTGTCCATATATAACATAAAACAAAACATAGAGGCACCAAGAAGTTGGTAAAATATATTTTATTTGTTCATAAAAGAAATAGTAGGAGTTACCAGAATTTCATTTTCCTAAAAACATCATTTTCTGTGTAAAATTAATTTGTGTTATACATAGGAGAAAATACTTGATTTTTCTTGTACATATTGGCTATTCTAACATCCAGATTATAGAAGACACTGCTAGATTTTGCACAGTATTTCAGATTACTGGGTTGAATCAAACTCAGTCATAAATTAATGTTACAAAAGTGAAATAAAGTCTAACCACACCTTTAAGTCTTATTGCCCATCCTTTTGGATAAACTGAAGACAGACTTTTTTTTTTTTGCCAGAACTTTAAATACACACAAAACATTTCAATTTATTGGAACTTCCCTATGTTTTCCTTATGAAAATCTTGTTTTCATAAGGATCTTAAACTGTTTTCTCCAAAGATCCTATAAAGAATCTATCACTCAAATTGATTTCCAAAGAGAATCCTATGAAGAGAATTTCTCCTCTTCCATCATCCAATTAAGTATTAATGATGCAGGCACTATACCTAAGTAAATTTTCACATCCATGTTATCACTTTTTAAAAAGCTTGGGAGAGAGAAAAACAGTAAATACTTCTAATTTTTTTGTTATCCCTTTTGACGCTGTCTTCAATGAAAAAATAAAGTACTTCACTGAGTATCAGAGTTTTTTCTATAATTTGAAGAAATTTCAAACATGTGCTAAGACAATCTGCCCAAACATGAAATGGTGTTTGTTCCATAGCAGCTAAAAAGTGAAGTTGGTAACCTTGCAAATTGCTATAGGCAGAAACCCAGAAGCTTAATTTTATGTTATCTAGCTTCTTCTGGAAGAAGATATGTGGGGTCAGGCTCTATAATGACCTTCACATGATGGGTATAACCATAGGACAAATGCTATGTGTGAATTAGTTGCAATCAAACCACAAGGAAGAGATGCACAGGACATTTGATTTATTTGTGTTACATGGAAAAATTTGCTAAAATCCATCAGTGCTAATCACTGACATCTGTTTGGAGTCAAGAATTTGACCCAGAATAGAATTTTAACCCACTTTCAGTGTTTGTGACTAAATGACTCTCCTATCTGAAAATTTCCTGTTTCAGTTTATTTTAAGGCATAGAATAAAGAATAAAAATCCTATTTAAAAATACAGCTTAGTAAGACTGCAAGTTCTTTCCCCCCAAGGGAAAGCAAAAGCTCATTGCATGCTTTAGTATTGCTTGGTTGCACACCTTTCTTATGAATTTTGACCATGCTAGAGCATGTGAGTGTCTAGAAAGTGAATAGGGAGGATTAGATGAGGGAAAGAGATTCTGACTTTTATTTCAAGTAACATTATTCTGTCACTACAAGAGGTATTCTCAGGTTTATTTCAAATTAGCCTTCTCATTGGAAAAATGCGTGACTAACTGGTGCCTAATGCAAATGTGCATTCTGCCAAATGCAGTTTCTACACTACTTGGTAGACTCAATAAGAAAGCTATAAATTGAATATAACATCTGAGGAATACAAGGAGACACCCAGTGTCCATCATCCTACACAGAACCTACAAAGTGACAACTTGGCTGCTAAATATAAAACTAGCAAGATCTGGGCTAAAAGTTGTAAGCAAATACAAACCAGGTTATTACTGAGACATCACTTAAAAATGAGTGACATCCTGATGAGTTTCTAAAGATAATTTTTTTTCTATTTCACACAACTTTTCTTACTATATCGGGCAAGTTCTCTCATACAACATTACAAAAGTGTCCTTTGAAACTATTACAAGCTAATGATTATAGCAATATGCATATCTTTCCATGTATTCCCTGGTGACAAAAAAGCTTAAATATCTATCTTTCACGGTAAAAGCATTCTGTTTTAGAAAATTGAGGACCAAGTAAAGATGTCATTATGTGCTATTGCTATGTGGTTATCCAACTTCCACTAGCTAGTCATCATAAACGATCCCCAGCTGCTCCCTCAATATGGAGGTATGAGAAGTTCATTCTGCATCAGTAGCATCAATGCTGGCAAGCCTTCTGCCAGAAACTGGCTGAAACAAGGAATACTTTCATAAAGTGTCAGGCTCAAATGCTTACAGATAACCTGGGGCAGCTTTCAGCCTCTAATAGGCTCTTGGCAACTAGCTACAGAACTTGTTACCAATCTGAGATGAACTAGAAATTCCAGAAGGAGAGTTTCAGACACCAAGGAATAAGGGGATAAGAGACAGAATTGCTTCTTCTGCATTGCTGCCTTAGGAGGTGTCTTTGTCTTTTCTTCCCCTCATGGATATCAGGCTACTGAAACTTGCCCAACATGGGCACCGAGCAGCACCTTGGTAGATACTGACTGTATGGAATGCACCTCCTTCCATTGGGAATTGACACTTGACACCCCAAAAAGATGTGAGCCTTTAGTTAGCCTAGGGATTTCTTTGGTGTTAGTGCAGAACTTTTCTGCTAGCAAGATGGAGCATGGTGCACTCTCACGCAAATTTCAAGAGATAGTCTTGTTTCTAAAGCAGCAACCAAACATCTCACAACTGGGAAAGAGGAAGTTAACATCTGCATACACTTCAAGGTGATTAATGAATCAGGGACTGAGTTAGAAAAGATGCAAGGCCATCGTCCTTCAAGATAAAAGTTGAAGTAAATAGACACTCACGTGCACAAATTTGCAAGACACAGATGGCATGGGAAAGGTAGTGATTCCCTTCTGTGTTGAGTGGATTTGGGGCCAGAGTGGCAGAGGGATGGGGGTGGGCTGGTGTCTGTATCCTTGGAAATGGAATCATGTCAACAAGGAAGCTGCTACATGAAGCCTGAGAATCAGAGTGATTGCAGCTTACTGAGGCTGCTCAGCATTCTTATGAGGTACATAGGCAGTGAGACCAATAGAAAGTGAAATCTGGGACCAAAGACACAAGGAAACGGGAAGCTGACTCAGATGGAGACCGAAGGTGGAATACCCGTAACAACAAAAATCTCAAGTTGTGCTTTTCTTCTTTTTAAATATGAGTAGGCAAAAACATGGAAGCACCATCAACTGTGATTATAAAACCAAAATATTAGAGTAAAACACTTTGGAATGTTAACAGATTATGAAGCTAACTCTCTAAAGAGTGTGGCTAGGCAGCTTAGTGAATTAATTGCTTATGAATTAAAAATAAATTATTATAAAATAGATTTCTGTACATTTTACATACATATAATCTCTTTCAATATATAATCCAAGTGGAAAGTTACACAGTCTGGTGTTCAATCCCAGCCAAAGTCGTGGCCAGTCATCTGGTAGAACTTGAGGTTGAATGGCCGGTAGAACTCACGCAGCCTCTGTATCACCTCCCGGTCCATCTCGGGGTGGGTCCTCCCCTTGGTCTTGCCCAGGCAGTGGGGTCTGCCACTGCCCTCCGCCTTCTTCAGGCACGGGAAGCCCTTGGTCTTGTTGAAGTAGAAGTGCTTGTCGGTGATGATCCTCTTGAGGCCCAGGAAGTCCTGGACACGGCCCAGCTCGCCCGCAGGGTCACTGATGAGCCGCTCCCCGCTGACGAAAAGCATCTGGGCCAGTGGGAAGTGGCGCAGCCAGCGCTCCAGGTGCTTGGCATAGATGCCGATCTGGATGGCACTCCAGGACGTGTCGATGAGGCCCGCAGTCCTATTCCGGAATGTCAGGCTCTCGAAGCTGGGGATGTCGGGCCTCTTGGAGAGCGTCTGTGTGTAGTCTGAGATGGCCCTGGTCACCGGGTCCCGCACCACCACAATGAGCTTGGTGTCCTTGGCCATGGCTGAGATGCGCGCGGGTGCCTCCTGTGTGACGAAGTAGCTGGGCGTCTTCTCCATGGTGATCTGCCCGTCCAGGCTCCTGGGCATCAGGTCCCTGTGAAGGGCAAATAGACTGAGTTCAGTTCAGAGCCTGATGTCTCTTTGGCCACACATTCAGCGTCAACACTTGGCAACTGGGCTCTCCCTAATACTGAAAAATTTTCTCTTAAATGCAAGCACATGGTGCTCTGAGCACTTCAGAAACGCCTCCTGATTTACCTCCTGAGCATGACCTCAAAACAAATGAAACAGGATAACAAGAAGAACGATCCACCAACAATGAGACAAATAAACAAAACTAGAAGCAGAACTTTAGTTTATGTATTTGTCAGTGCTTGAGGATCGTCTGGGAGACCCAGCCCTGCATAATGTAAGGATGTAAGGACATAGCCTTACATCCTTTTTGAGCTAGCCCAGCTAGAATTTTCAAGAAACACTTTGCTAGCCTATACTTACATGAAGGACCTTCCTCTACCCTCACCAAAGGTTAAATAGTAAGAAGCACATTTCCCTAGGATCCTCCCCTGGGTGGAACCATACTGCAGGGTTTATCCAGCTTTTAGTCTGCCCACCCCCACACAAAGTTCTTTGATCTCTGCATCTGGGATTTCATGGATAAGGGCTCCAGAAATTTTCCTGCCATAAGTTCTACTAGCTCGCCTTTAGGTGCTCATCAAGACTGGGCAAATGTACGATGGCCACTGAAAGGAAAATATCCCCCACCCTGTCAGGTCATAGTAGCTTCCTCACAATTCTGACCACTGAAAATCGCCTTTAGTCCCAAAAGCTGACCTGAAGGTAACAAAGGAAGAAATAGGCAAGAAATTAAGTAAAACCAGATAAATTTGCCATGGGGTACTTCCCCAAAAACAACTCTGAAGTTTTCAAAAGCAGTTAGGTTTCATTAAAGTTAAAAAGGATTACATGATTAGCTATCACAGCATTAATTTAAGTAAAAGTTTAAGTGTACAAAACTGGTACCAATCCACAGGAAATAAGGCTATATTTGGATCAAAAAGTAGCTTAATGGTAGCAATTATTACTGGCATCCTGATCCTCAGCATTTATTATTATATTGTTATAATATGCGCCCATCATTACATTTGCCTATTATATTGTTATTGTTATAATATTCAAAATACATGTTAAGAACAAAGTTGAGTGCCTATTTTGTACATGCTCATGCAGCTACTTCAAAAAGATAAAATGGGAATACTTCACCTATATCACTAAATTGCTTGAGGTTTATAAATCTCAAGTGACTTTTAGCTTAACAACAGTTTAAGGAATAACACTTGGATGTCACCCCACCCAAATCCCAGTACCGCTATTTACAAGCCATGTCATCTGAACAACTGGTTTTTGGCCCAAAATCCAAATTAAAAAGAATGCCACAATATTCTTAGAACATATCTGACATAAGGAAGACTCCTTTTATTACTATTATACTGTTATTGTTATAATATTCAAAATACACGTTAAGAACAAAGTTGAGTGCCTATTTTGTACATGCTCATGCAGCTACTTTAAAAAGATGTACTGACTAATTGGATACCAAGTTTTATATAAAAATGTACAATTTTCCTTCAAGTATGGCATAGAGCTCTTTCTATTTGATCCCACCCGGATTCAGGAATTTAAAAAAAGACAATTTCCACATCATCTTTGAGCAAGGATACCTCTTACTAAGATATTTTATTTTAAACTTACACCATTCAAGCCATCTTTAATCACGGGGACAGCACTCCTCTATGGCACACACAGTAGAAATGATGACATGAACTCTTTCACAGGGTCAGGAAAAAAAGCCAAGTCCCTGGAGAGAGCTTCCTGCAGACTTACAGGAAGAGCATTTTCTTTTAAGGAAGATCAGTCCACAATGCAGCAGCTATCCCTGGCTTAAACTAAAGCTGGATTGACCCATTTTACCCATTAACTGCTTAGATTTAATGCAGCAGTGTCTTCAAACTAATGTTATTGAGGATTACAAAGAATCTTGATGCTCAGCTTAGTTTGCATTTATCCAAAAAGGAGGTCAAAACAGAGAAAGTTCAAGTTCTTTCCCCCATGTTAAGCTCTAAGTAAGTGACCATTTTAGAAGAGTTTAGTACTCAAAATCAAAGTGCTATTACCATAATGGAAGGTCATCCAACTCCCAGAGTTCTCCATGGCCATGGCAGAGGAGTGGACTTGAGGCGTGTCCTCAGAGTCCATTTGAATCAGCATAGGCTTTGGAGCTAGGCCACTGGCTTGACTCTCCTCTTCCTCCCTGACTGAGGTGTATGACCTAAAGAGGTCACTTAGTTGCCTATGCCTCAGTTTTCTCATATAAGTTATGAGAGAAAAGAAGGTACCAACCAGGTTTTTGAAGGACTATGAAAAAACACTGAGCCTTGTAGTTGGCTGATGCCATGGAGCTGTATCAATCGTCTCCCTTGCCAGATTCTGGGTAGGGAGACAAAGTTTGCACATAGGACACTGACCATTCAGCTCCACCCCACAGAGAGGCAAAGGGACCACTCTCTGAGAGGCAAGGACGCCACAACGGACTCTGCTCTCAGTCTGCCTGGGTTCCGGAACCACCTCTGCACCTTCACTGCCTGTGTTTCCTCAGAGTCTTTGAAGAAATACCTGGCAGCAACTGAACAAAATTACTAAACAGATGATAGAGAATAAGAAACCACATAAAAAGACATAAAAAGAAACTGGGGCGGACCTCTCTGTCCTGAGGCCTAAAGGCAAAACCTCCATAATCATAAATAAAGATACCCCAAGTGGTTGACAGATTTCCTTGGCATGATTCCTGCTGATCGTTCAAGTCATTCTGGGGCACCAGCTCTAGGAGACCCCCTCTCAGTCTGGAATCCACATATATGTCAGGAAGCTCATCAAGGGACAAACAAGAACTGTGGGGCTGACGGGTGAGATGACTCAATGGGTCAGCATCATTTCAGCAAACACCTCCTGAGCCCTCTCAGCTGACTTCCTTGGTCTCATTTCTGGGTTGGGCATTGGGCTCAGATGGGGGTCAAGAACTAGTCCAGCACATGCTGGGTGCCTACCAAGTGGGAACACAGCATAGCCTGAGTGCTACTAAGTATGTGGACAGCTGCTGGCACCACATCCCTTGGAAAGCTATAGGCCAGACCCTTCCCTCCAGCTGCTCTTCTACCACCCCTATACAGCCCTTAATACCCCTACCCCCAACAACAACTTGTCCTGGGGAAAAGTCCTTTCTGTTCACTTCTTGAGCTCCTTTTCCCTCCCATCACTGGCCAGTCTTCTGTTTGGACATTCAAATCCTCTTTGAACACAATATTGGCTCAGAGAAGAAAGGATAAGTATGCAGTTGAGGCAAGCCAACCGATGTGGGCACTGTGTGCCCATCCCAGCAACCCCAAGGGCCCACCCAGCCCCTGGCTAGCCTCCAGAGTCAGTAGGGAAGTCATGGGGATAATTGAGTTTCTCATTACAAGAGCTAGTTTGTCAAACTGATAGTCATAACTAATAATTATGTAGTGCTTTGGTGCTTGCAGAGAAACTCTCACACATTATCTGATTTAATCCCTCACAGCAAGTCTTTGAGGAACTATTCCAATCTCCACTCTGCTAATGAGGAAATGGAGACCAAAGGAGAGCAGATAACTCATTGAAGATACATCACTGGCCAGGGGTTCAAGAGTCAGAACTTATCATCGCCCACTTTAATTATTCCCCTGTTCATCACAATCGTCTCCCCTCAGTCTCCTTTGTAGTAAAGATGATGAAAATCTCAGAGGTCATACACCTGTCCTCTCTTTAACAGATACCTACTTTTCTTCTCTTGTTCATAGATTAGGATCTTAATAATAGGTAATTCAGTGCTAAAATCAGAAGACCACAATCATAATTATTCAAATATGAGTCAGATTTCTAAACAATGGATCTCTTAGGTTTACTTTGGTTAGCAGTAAAGAGCATTCTGTCATAATAGCAATATTTCTCCCCTCCAGGAACCCTGAGGCCCTCACCTGGGAGGGGGAGGACACCTTTCCAACACTCGGCACAAATCACCAGTGGGTGTCTGTGACGAGAGATGGTATCAGGAGTGCAAGTTTGAAAAGAAGGTGCCAGAGCAAGGGAGGAACAATTGGGCCCTGATGGTCCATGAACTGTACAGAACAAATAGAACAATCGGAGTGAAATACAGTCAGGCTCAATGTAGAGAAGAAAGGGCAGTTGGCAGATGTGTGAATGCACACAAACACTGACACAGTTATCAAACACTAATCAGCAACAGAGACATACTGAAAGTCAACTAGAAAGAACAGAGAAAGATAAGGGTGTCTTTATTCCTATGATAAAGAAAAGCTAACAGATGCATCTAACTTTCATCATCAGAGGTAGATAACATCAACATAAACAAAGGAAAGGAAAACAAACAGGGGTAAAGAACAGTACAAGTAGTGCTGCATTATCTGATCATACTTTTGCCAAAGTTCAAGGCTGAAAATGAAACTAAATCCTCTTTTTTAAAAAAATGCAATGAAACTGAAATGAACTAACATCAACTATAACCACTTGGCCCCCTTGCACTTCACTCATCTTGAGGCAGTAAGAAGAATGTTGACTCAGTAGAAGATTTAGAATCTACCTTTGGCCCTGGCACTCGCCTTCACCTTTGCCTTTGCCAGTCTGGAAATGGCAGCCAGTAAAGCAAATCAACACCCCACTGGATGTCACAAGTCTTTGTTTAATAAAGTCCAAAATTTACTACTGAACAACCCTATCTTACTGGCACTTTTACGTATTTGCTACTAGAATCAAACTATTAAAAACACAACTTTAGGCCTGAATGAGTGGGAAATGAGAATAAATTGGATGAGTTCTAGAAAAGCTCTCTAATCCTAATTTTTTGGATTGTAAATATTGCTCTGACTTAATTTTTCAGCTTCTCTCTTTCACTGCATGACAGGCTTCCTTCGGTGCCCCAGAAAATTAACGTATTGTTTGAACTGGAAAATTGCTTAACAATAGAAAGGAAGATTGTCGAGATGGGTGTGACCAAACTCACTA